GGCCAAACGGCAAGGGGGGAGGTCCAACCGACCCCCCCCCCCCCCTACACATTAGAAGCTGGCAAACGCCGCACACATGCGAGGGGTAATTTGGGACCATGCCCGTTTGAGCTGTTTCAGCAGGGCGCCGAGGCTGGCCGCCGGCTTCTGTTTGTCCAGGCCTTGCTGGACGATAGCCCAAAGTTCCTCGATCAGGGTTTGGTCCGAGTGGTAGCCGGCTAACACCTCCTTCCTTCAGAAGTTCGGCAAGTTCGGTTCGCACCACCGCTGGGTCTTGGCAAAGCGACGAGCTGACGCGTTGTCCTGCATGAATAGCATGTGGGCCTGTCATCGACCATGCGTCCACTTAGAACTGAGCCGCTGGAGGCTCTTGTAGGTAATGAGCCTCAGAGGGCTCTTCCAATAGCGTCTCACGGTCCTGTCTGGAGAGGGGATCTCAGAAACTAATCGATCTACGATGAAGCCATTTTACACGATCATGGCCGGCTTGTTACCCAACAAGTCGATAGCATCTTCAACACTTAAAAGCTTAAGACGACGAAGATATTGCCTTAAGTACACTAAATTTTCTAGGTGCAAAACCTACCGCTAAAACCCGCGAGACCTGTACATGTCTCAACTGATCAGCAGTGGCGTGCTGTGTCATTTTGGCCTGGAGTATGTCGACTGTCTGGTTCAGCTCTTTGAGATGGAAATTTCAGACCTTCGTCCTTCATTTTGCGACGCGGTCGTTCGGGTGGACAATCTGTGTGAAACTGGCCTTAGCTCGGTGACCCATGAGTCATGACCCGAGGTTCGTTCGCGACTTCATGTTTCGCGGTCAAAGACCGTACAATGCAAGGATGCAACCAGAACCGTTATTTCTTACGGGTATCAACGATTAGGAACCGGGAAGTGTGGTCGTAGGAAGAGGATACAATTTTTGCCGGAACCTGTACCTACTATCGTCCACTAGCGAGCAGTGCATTTTTTTAAAGACGCTATTCGTGAGGCTCACTGTATAATTTGGTAAAATGACAACAATCTTCTCTCAAGTGTAACATGGTTTAACTTTGATCACCAGCTGATATATTTGAAAGAAGTTGATAAAAATTCATTTTGTGTCCAATATAAATGCCTACCTATTGGAAAGAAACACGGGGATGGTCGGACTAGTTCGGCGACGGTGTGCTCTGTGATTTCTATTGCTCCAATTTCGAGATCCTTCCAGCGAAGTGTGTGCGTCACAATTTGGTCCGGTGTGGCGCTGCCCTGTTCCATCGGTCTGGCCCCGTTTGTCACATCTGCTGCCGCCGAGGCGTTGCTGTGACTCAGCGGCGAACTCCGCGAGTTGACGCGGCCGCGCCGCTGGAACCGAGCAGCCTGTGGCACTCTGCCAGGGCGGCGGCTGGAATTCAGACCATCCAGAACTGTCTGAATGGGGGTGAAAACAGGGATATCTGGGTAATATTCCAGCCAGTTTTAATGTGATGAATCTCAAAGTGTTGCAATGCTGGATGTATACTGTTATAAAAGTTGCAAATGATGATAAGTGGTGAAATGTCATCCTGTCCTGTCTTCTGTAAATTACCCATTACCAAAAGCCTTAACCCTCGCCCGTAAACGGCGATCTGCCACCTTCGCCCATGCAGGGGGGGGGGGGTTGGTGCGACCCCCCCTTGGCGTTTGAAAACGGAGCGTCGTAGAGCTTAGCGGAAAAGACCAACGGATTGCTCTCGCCGAGATCTCGCGATTGGTGGTATATTTTTTGGTCCTAGGTCAACATTTGACCTACTTTTGACCGGTCAAAGGTCAAATTTTCGGAAAAATAGACTTTTTTCAACTTTCCGCGGCGATTGCGGCAAAACGGTGGGAGATATCGACTTGAAACCTTCACTGTCGTGTTCCTTGATCAATTCTCTACCGTTTGGTATGTATTTCGGTTCCCTAGCTCTAAAAATGGCGCGTTGGGAGCGCCGGAAGTCGGCAAGGTCACAGTCGGCGGCAGAAATTCGAAAAATCAAAATTTAAATTTTTGAAATCTGATTGTATTTTTGGATTTGGAAGGTCCATTTGCTCCCTATAGAAGCTAATATTGCTGCATATTCCCATTGAGGTGACAAGAATTCGCAAAATAGTGGTTCGGGCGCTTTTCAAAAATAGTACCGGACGCTGTTCCTCTTGCAGTGTTCTAAAATTGGATTTTGGATGGGTGTGCTGACGGAGAAAAAAAAATCGTAGGATGAGAAAAAAGGAAATAAATAACCAAAGTGCATTTGCAAAATGGTATAATGCCAATTTGTATGCCAACTGATAAACCAGGATTTCATGTCAGAATCTTGACAGGTTGTGAAACAAAAATGTGGGTGCATCAACCTGTCAAGTGACATGTAAACTGGCTGTTGGAAATACATGAAACTTTTTTTCAGAGAGGAAGCTAAGTCGGTCATTCGTATTTTAGGGATGAAAGTATTTTCCCCATTAGGTGTAATTTGCCACCAAAAAGTCTGAAAAATGGAACACTGTCCTCTTGTGACGTCATAGCTCCGTGACCTGACCTGACCCGGTCAAGTTTCTTATACCATATGATAGCCAATACTTGCCCCAATATGCATGGGAAGTTTCAGCACGATCCATCAACCGATGTCCGTACTACCGGCAGGAAACCTCGGGCGTTGGCACTCAGTTTGTGAAAATCCGGCCGGAGGCTGTTCCCTTTGTGACGTCATAACTCCGTGACCTGACATGACCCGGTCAAATTTTTTTTTATCAAAAGATGCGCAAGGCTTGCCCCATAAGGTACCCAAAATTTGGCGGCGATGCGCGCCGCCGTTTTTGCACTATTTCCGAAAAACCTCAGGGGGGGGGGTTGCACCAACCCCCCCCTACATGGGCGAGGGTTAATATTTTTGATAAGGCTATTTTCCGTGGGATTTGATAACAACAGCAATAGCAGGCAGTTACTATAGGGCAACGGCCAGTGGCGGATGGTGTCAGTGTCATTGGCAGCAGTGAATGATGATGTCTGTCACTGTCAGTGTCATCAGTGGCGGATGATGTCATTGTCGGTGTCGTTGGGGACGAAGGGTGTCGGTGTCTGTGTCAGTTATGACGGATGGTGTCATTCGATGTCAGTGTCAGCAGTGACGGATGGTGTCAATGTCAGTATCTGTGTTAGCGGTGACGGATGGTGTCTAGTGTCAGCAGTGGCGGACGGTGTCAGTGTCAGTGTCGGCGGTGGTGGACGGTGTCAGTGTCAGTTATGAAGATGGTGTCAGATTTGGTGTCAGTGTCAGCGGTGTTGGACGGTGTCGGTGTCAGTGTCAGCAGTGACGGACGGTGTCAGTGTCAGCAGTGACGGACGATGTCAGTGCCGGCGTCAGCAGTGACGGACGGTGTCAGTGTCAGCAGTGACGGACGGTGTCAGTGTCAGCAGTGGCGGACGGTGTCAGTGTCAGCAGTGACGGACGGTGTCAGTGTCAGCAGTGATGGACGGTGTCAGTGTCAGCAGTGGCGGACGGTGTCAGTGCCAGCAGTGTCGGTGTCAGTGTCAGCAGTGGCGGACGGTGTCAGTGTCAGCAGTGGCGGACGGTGTCAGTGTCGTTGCTAGCAGTGACGGACGGTGTCAGTGTCAGCAGTGACGGACGGTGTCAGTGTCAGCAGTGACGGACGGTGTCAGTGTCAGCAGTGATGGACGGTGTCAGTGTCAGCAGTGGCGGACGGTGTCAGTGCCAGCAGTGTCGGTGTCAGTGTCAGCAGTGGCGGACGGTGTCAGTGTCAGCAGTGTCAGTGTGTCGTCACTGTCAGCAGTGGTGGACGGTGTCAGTGTCAGCAGTGACTGACGGTGTCAGTGTCAGCAGTGTCATACGGTGTCAGTGTCAGCAGTGACGGACGGTGTCAGTGTGGGTGTCGGTGACCGATTCGCCGGTCGGCCCGCTGTCTATAGATAGCCGGCGCTCCGGGGCGGCGCTGGACGGTTGCCAGGCCGCCGTCGGGCGGCAGCGGTCGGACCGCCGGTCCTGCTCCTCTGAAATCACCGCCCTGATTGAGCTATGACGTGCGCCGGCGAGGCGACCCCCGGGCCGCGGCCGGCTGTGTTGCTCTGTCCCCCGGCTCCATCTGCTGGCCTTTTTTCTGGCGGCCCGTTTCCGTCTGTCAGTGTGTGTGTGATGTCTGTATGCATGTCAGAGGCCAGCCGGGGGTCCCCATTGGACTGGTCCCATGGCCCAGACGCAGCAGCTACCTTGACCTGTAAAGGACAAGTTGAAAACTTAAACAGTGCCATGACGTAATCTGTTTGCTCTATATGGCTGGATGTACACATCCGAGATGCTTTCGTCTCCAACATGCTACTGTCAAAAGTTATCGCCTGAAAAACTGTCAGTGACCTTTCCTGGGCTCATATGACCTCAGAGTTGAAATTTGGGGGCACGCGTATTACTTTCCACTTCAGTTTTCAAAAAGCGTCTTAATAGCGATGTTTGAAGTGTTAGGGCAAATGCTTTAATCCCAAAGAGGCACAGTTTGATTTTCTGACATTGACATAATGGTGAGGTCTCAAAATGAGCCTGTCTATCGGTCACCGATGCAAAATATGAGGTCCACGTAATATTCATCCTATCACACTTCCTTATGTTTAGTTGTAAGTTTCTAAGCAATCGCTGTCTGTGTAGTCAAGGTGAATACTGACTTTTCTTGGGATGAGATCACTCAACTTGGCCCTGTTTACCTGATCTAAGGGACAGGGGTGAAATTTTTAACGCGCGAAAATGTGGGATAAGGCCATCATTTTTTAAAGTTGTTTGCGAAAAACCTGAAGGGAATGACTAAGTATTGGCTTAATTACACCCCGCGCGAGCCACGGCGTGATCTTACTTTATACCAATTAGCTGCTAGATGCGGTTCTCATTTCTCAAATTTGCCTTATGCTATGTGGCCCATTAATCCGGCGCTCTGTATTTACAGGTCCTCATAGTTGCACAAACGATCACTGCTGACCCAGCGTACCTGTTTCGCCCCAGACCAGCACGATGGATCTGATGCCGCTGCAGGCCAGCCAGCCGTTCGACCCGTCCAAGTACCGGTATACGGGCCCGAATGTGCAGCCGCGTCAGCTGCCCAACACCCGGTCTCAGGTGAGTTTGGCTGGCCCTGTCAGGCCGACACTATACCCGGGGTCATCACCGCTCCACCGTGTGGGTCAGGCGGTCCTTCGATATCGGCCCGCAGTTTCCCGCCCGGTGGTTCTGGGCTTTGCGCTGTTCCTAGACTTTTTATGAATTCATCGTGGAATGTAAGGTTATCAATGGATTCGTGCAAATAATGATGTCGGCTAGCGTAGCCGAAGGGACGAAACTGGTCAGAAAACTATAGTTATTTCGATCTGGCCGACTGGCAACAAGGTTAAAACGATCATTGTTATTTCGATGCTTAACTAAATAACCCGGCTATGGAGCTGGCTGATTGCTTTCATCCCTTTATAAATGGCATTTACCACGGACATCCGTTCCGTTCCGTTTCGGCAGGCGCCCATCACCACGGGCACGTCTGTGATCGGACTGCAGTTCGACGGCGGTGTGATGATTGCCGCCGACAAGCTCGGCTCCTACGGCTCCCTGGCGCGCTACCAGAACATCGGACGGCTGATGCGCGTCAACGACCACGTCATCCTGGGCTGCACCGGCGACTACGCCGACTTCCAGTTCCTGCGCGACATCATCGACCAAAAGATGATCGACGAGGAGTGCCTGGACGACGGGATCGTGACGCGCGCGCCGGCGCTCCACTGCTGGCTGACGCGCGTCCTGTACAACCGGCGCTCGCGCTTCGACCCGCTGTGGACCACGTTCGTGGTGGGCGGCCTGGACGACGACGGTAAGCCGTTCCTGGGCTTCGTGGACAAGCTGGGCACGGCGTACACGGCGCCGCAGATCGTCTCCGGGATGGGCGGCCACCTGGCCACACCGCTGCTGCGCGAGAAGATGGAGGGCCAGCCGCCGCTCTCGGAGGCGGCCGCCCGGGAGCTGCTGGTCCGCTGTATGACCGTGTGCTACTACCGCGACTGCCGCGCCTTCTCCAAATTCCAGATCGCCACCCTGAAGGCGGGCAGCATCAAGATCGAGGACGACCTGGAGGTGAAGGGCGACTGGGAGGTGGCGCACTTCAGCAAGGAGCACGCGTAGGCGGCCGGCGGGACAGCTGGGACACGGGGTCGGGTCTGTGGGGTGCCACGATGGTCCATGTTTCTCTGATTCAATACACTGCTATTTCACCCATAGTGTTGTGTGACATTGGACTTTGGCAAACAGACACTGAACACAGATGGGAATAGTCACAGCGGGCGCCGTCGTTTTTTTTTTTTTTGCTGAGGAGCGAGCGCCGCTGGCGCCGGCAGAAGCTCTGCTCGGAATCAGTCGGGCAGGGAAGGTCACGCGTCGGTCGCCGCTGTCGGGAGATTCTGGCGGCCAAGACGGAGCGACGCTGAACAGAGTGTAAAATGGGGCTGCCAGCGGCGTGCGCGGGCGTAATGAGCGGTCTCAGTTGGATGGTCGCCGGCCGATGACAGGCCGCTGGCGGAGCGGGGAGGGTCCCCACCGGACGCCGTTCCGGGAACGGCGCCCTGCGCGGGAGCGCGCGTCATTTCATCCTTCCCGAAAACGCCAAATGACCGATGACGGGTATCAGAATGAACTCTAGTCTGGTTTGAGGCATTCACGTAAGATGATGTTACAAAGCATCAAACGGTGCCCACTGCCCAGCTAACAGCTCTGTGGATCTGCGTAGAGTTAAGTGCTAGTGGCGGCCCAGTTTCCGCTATCATCCCCCTGGGCTGCTGCCAGCCGATCGGTCCATAGTCTGGTTCCCCGCTGTATCCACCCCCTCTCCTCCAGTGGTCCGTTTCTTCTGCGTGTCGAGCACGAGCAGCTCCGGGAATAGCGGCCGGCGGGCGGTGAGTCAGGGCGGGGGCGGCGCCACCTGCCGCCCCCGCCGCGCCCGTTCGGCGGCTATTCTGGGCGGCTGTGGCGGCGGTGGAGCGGGCTCAGCGGGCCACCCGCAGTCGACGGTCGGACATCAGGTGGAGGCTGTGTCGCTCCTGTCGCCGGTCAGCCGCCCTCGCCATGTCCAGCTACAGCTATAAGGTGACGCGCGAGACGTCGGGGCCGCGCGGCGGCTCTTACTCGACCAGCAGCTACTCGTCGCCGACCGCCTACTCGCCGGTGAGTGCGCCGCGCCGCCACCGCCGCCGTGCGCCGCCGTGCGCCGTTAGCGCCGCGCCCCTACCTACGCGGTGCGCAGCAATGGGCGCCGCTAGGTCAGCGGTGAGCCGGTCAGCCACCCAGGGAGGGGAGCTGCTGTGTCCATTGACGCGTGTTGGACCGGATGTATGGAATTGTCCGTAGACAGGATCGCCGCAGAGCTCGTGTGGTGTCAACGGTGCTTACTTGAGTGTCCTTACTCCTTACCCGAATGTCTTGAAGCCTCACCTGAGTCCCCGAGATCCTTCAGGAGCGTTAGTGGCCCTCACTGAGTGTCCCTAGCCTTCCCCGAGTGCGCGTGGATCGGTGACCACAGTCCCCAGTCAAATGGATCTGCCACATTATACTACAGGGCAGGAGTTGGCTGAGTGTCTCGTTATCGACGAGTGCTTTTTGTCTGCTCTGCACATATAAGACTGATTGTTAAAAACACAACATGCTTTCAAACATACGAGTAGACGGATTGTTTAAAAGCACACAAGACTTTTATATAACGCCAAATGCCAATTGAAAAGGCTGTTTTCGAAAGATATGCAAGTGACCGTTTATTCTACCTGTCGACACATCACACAGTTATTAGGGCTATTAGGCGTTCAGATCCACCCCACGACGATAACGCTCTTAACGCTGATGAATTTAGTGTTCAGACTTTGACAAGTGTGACGGACACGGAAAATACCGTTCCTTGAGCTGCCCAGCCCATCAGCTCGGCTTATCTCAGCTCAATTAAGTCGGGACAGAACATGGTCACTAACCCGTGCCGTGGTGGTGACCTGATAGTGACACTACGAGGCGGGGGGGGGGGGAGGATTTTCCATTTGGGCCCCTCCAACCGGGTTTCAGTGCTACACAGTGACAGACAATACGCGACGCATGAAGGGTCTTGGATCGATCGTCAAACGTTATCAAGCTCGAAGGTAATAGGGCGGTTTTAATTCAGGTCAGAGGCAGGTCGCCATTGTTCGAACCACATTATGATTTTTACATTGTTTGACAAATTGGCTACACCAGATCGTTTTGCTGATCTTAACCCGGCAGGCGGTGGGCCTCCAGGCCATGCCTTCCGCGCGGTGGGGGGGGGCATTTTTTTGCCCCCCCCCCGTATCTCCGAAACTACTGGACGGATCCGGAAAATTCAAACGGTGTTCGATAGCCCTGTCAAATTTGTTGAGGGAAACCAAATTTCATTGACCTCGGGGTCACCGATGACGTCACAGGTCAGGTCAAAGATAAAATGTTTCACCGTTCACGGGGCTTCTAGGGAAAACGCTATAACACCGAGTAAAACGCATTTTGTCGAAAATCAGCGATAAGGCGTCAGTTGTCTAGTACATATGTTGCTATTAGAGGTCACTGGTCATACCAGGTCAGGTCACAGGTCAGGTCACCAAAGGTCACCAAGGATCACCACATGAACCCAACTTTACTGGTTGTGCGATGCATGTTTTATGGCCAGTTTTTTATTTCCAACTCAATGGTGTTGGTTATAAGACGATCAGGTACGGTTTAGGTCACTTTCTGGTGGAGGTCAGGTCAAGGTCAGGTAAAAAAGGTCAAATTTCAAAGTTAATATTTTTGCATAAAATGGGTATTGATTCGATGCAGCTCGTCACGGGGAGTCTAATGGTGGTCTTTTTTTTAGCTACGACGTCTAGAATTGCTAAAAATTGAGTTTGAAAATTTGACGTCATCATTTTTGAACAGTTTTTTCGCTATAACTTGGCCAAAAAAAGGTATCGATCTAAAATTTGGCATGGAGATAGAAAGTGGTAGGGACTATCACATATATTCTGTTTTTTCGAAATTCAAAAAACTTTTTGGATTTTTCGGCTATCATATTCAAAAATCTATTTTTTTAATTTTTGGGGGTCAAAATCCAATAAAATCGAAAAACCGAAATGGCAGTTTTGTAGCCCTCTTGATTCCACACCTTTTATGTCTGAAACATTTTTCTGTATCTCTAAAGCTGTAGACCTGACAGCTCTTTCCGCGAAACCTTTTTTTGGGTCGAAAATGGCAGAAATGACGTCACTCTGACGTCATTAGCGGCCAGCCTATCATAGGCTTTGGAAAAATTTTTGGTCACCATGTGCGCTAACTACTCCCGGGAGGGTACTGAAAGTTTGGTGACGATCGGCGCAGCGGTTCTCGAGACATATCGAAAAAACTAAAGGGGGGGGGGCAAAAAAATGCCCCCCCCCACCGCCTGGAAGGTTAATCTGACCCTGAGTCCTCGGATTATTTGCATCAAGAGCGAGTAATCAGCAGTAAGCAAACCTGTAGCGAAGATGATTGCTTGCCAAATATTAGTCTGCTTCACGTTTAAATAGGTGCTCACGCGTTTTAGCTGTGCAGAGTGCCGATGAAGTTAAACTAATGGGAATTCAGGCTGCACCGCCTGCCCGGTGTATTTTGTTTGGCTCGTGTGATGGAATTCGGCCCTGCCTGTTGAGGTGTGTAAATGCCGCACTGCGGTGTCCCGTTCGCGCCGCCATGACCCCGTGGCCATGGTTAGTCCACTTCAGTTCTGTTTTCTCAGGTGACACAGCAGCCTGTTGGCCCAGCTCCAGCCACGGGCGCCGGTGTTGTGGAATTGTCCGGCCAAGTGTCTGTCTGTCCGACACTCGCGACTCGATGGCTTTATCGCCGGAGCAATTAGTGCTTGACAGATCTGTGCATTTGCAACGTTGGTCAAACCATCAAAGTGGACTTCATCTCTGGGGCTACGTACGGGACTGCGCTCTCATCAGATGGATGAGGAAGGCACTGACACTGGTAGCGAAGCGATTCACAGCAATTGGCAACGGCAATTTCGGAAATATTTAATGCTAAGTAAATGCAATCTAGTTAGACAGTCTCTGCACCGGCCGCCGCTTCTGTCATACCTCCGATGCCCCTCGCCGGTTACCGACTTTGTCATAGCTCTGCACTGGTCGCCAACTCTGTCATAACTCCGCTGACCCTCGCTGCTCGCCGGCTCTGCCATATCTCCGCGGCCTCTCTAAGTGACCTCGACCGGCTCGGGCGCGGCCGCTGACAGCCGGGTGACGGATGGCGCCGTCCGTCCGCCGTCCGGTCGACCTGACCCGCCAGTCAGCGCATGGCGCCGCGCCGCGCCGCTGACCCGGCCCGGCGCCCGGCGCCAGACCTCCTCGCCCGCTATGCGTGCCATCCGGGGCAGCGGGTCAGGGCGGCGGCCGCGGCGCGCCCGGCTGGCGTGTTATCGTGTCACCGTGTCAGCCTGACCGTGTCACCGTGTCAGCCTGACCGTGTCACGGCGGCCGGCCGAGACCGCACCTGGCCGCCGGCCCAGCGCTGACAGTCCCCGGTCACGGCAAACTTGGCCGCTAGTGACGAGTGAGACAGCCGCGGCGAGATACGGTGAATGCCAGTCCAGGGAGCCGCAATAGGCTGTGAGTCCGAGTTCCAGTGACAGGGCTACAAATAGGGCTTTTCACTCGCTTGCAAAGTGAAATACAATTATACGATCGGCATGTGATAGGGTAAGGTGCCTAATTAGCGACCCCCTTAATTTGAACCGTCATTGCTCACGCTCTGTGGGTGCCACTGTATTACTGGCTTGATTTTCGGAGAGATCGTTCATTTTTCTATTAAAATATAGCTATTTTCTGCCCCAATATTTACTAACTTATTTGTAGTTAGCATTTTGGCAAACCATTGCAAAAAACGCTAATAGGGAACTCTTCCCGATTAGCGACCGGGGAGGGTCGCTAATAAGTCTATGGGTTTCCCCATATTAAAAATGGCAAAAAATGCGACGCCCGAAAAAATGAAATATGATCTCAAAAACGTAACCTATACGCAAAGCACTCAATCACTCGAACAGGAACGTTTATCCAACACATTTACGTAAGTAAAAACTGATCACGTGATGCACCGAAGGCGAAAAGAAGGCGAAAACCCAAATTTTGCGGGCTATCTCGTATGATGTTCGAGGTCCGCGCTGAATTCGGCACCCCTGCAGTCGGTGACGACATTTGGCATCCCCTGCCACACATTGCAAGCTTCAGCAACACCTCATTGTCATTTCTCTCTTTTCCCCTTTCTTCCCCTTCTTGAGCTATTTGCGACCATGTCAGGCGCAAATAGGAAATATGAATTGCCACACATTTTTAACCGCCATGCTGTGCACAGTTGAGCGATTCACTATGGGAAAACGGCAATCAATTGACAAAGGAATGTCGATTCAGAATAAAAAAGGTGCATCATCCTAATGTGCATCGCTTTTCATCAGAGAGGGCCCAAACACACACGTTTTGGATAAGAAACTCGTCATTTTTATTTAAACTCACCTGAAACGTCCCACCAGAAACATCGACGACCGGAAAATAATTGAATTTGATAACCAAAGTATGGCTGACCTTTTGACGATGTTTTTACCCCGTTTCCTCCTGCCAGTTTTTCTGTAGAGAGGTAGGTCGCAAATCGGAAAGGGTCGCTAATTAGGCACCTTACCCTATAGGTACAAATATGTCGATTGTGTTATTCATTTGCAATATTGGGTTTACCCGAATAGGACGTTGTCATAAAGGACATGTTCTTGTGCATCACTATCAGTCAATGCGCGTACAAGTCACCCGTGGTAACTGAAAAGTCAGCTGGCATGACGCTTCACAGAGGGCATCGAGCTCGTTGCGTCAGTTAGATAAATGCTCTTCTGATCTGATCTTCTAATATCCCCTCATCTCGACGGCAGAGATTCATTCATTGGCTTGCTTAGCCAGATAACACAGACAGGCGAAGTCAGTCCAGAATGCCCGCAATCATGGCGAGTTTATTGCATCGTATTTCAGAAAAGGTTCTACTTCTAAACGCAACTCTTTTGGGGAAAATGCATTGTAACGGAATACCATCGTCCTGTAACGGAATTACCATTGCCCTGTAACGGGATAGCTAGGGCCGCGTCTCGGGCCCAGTCCATATATCGTCAGCGCTGGCTG